ACATAAATTAGCTTAGTTTAAAACGGTGATACATCACATTGTCACTGTTTCACAGTAACAGGCACTGATATAATGGTTACAAATGCTTACAACAATATATCAGCAACTATAAGCAGTGAAAATTTATTTTAAAAATGCTGAATAAGTATTGAATAAATCACCTGACATTGTTCAAAAATCAGAACAAATTACATTTTTTGCAACTCTACAATTACCTTTTTAGCAGTTATTTAATTGCTGTAAAAGAAAACGGTAAATAAAACAAAAATTAGTCAAAATAGCAATTTTCTTTTCTAGATTTTTCTGTTTTTTAAAACTGCCATCAAAACTGCAGGAGAAACTGTCGAGAATACAGAACAAAGCAAAAGAAAAAAAAAAAAAACGAAACACTGTTATCTGTTCAGTACATCAATAGTAACTGTGAACTTTTTATCATAAAAATTATTGCTGAAAATTTGTTGTTCTTTACAGTTATCTAAATAATAATTTTTTTATTTTTATTATAACAAAAAACAAAAATAGAAAAAATAAAAAAAGCTCAATTTTGGTCATTAAATGTCAAGAAAAAATCAGGATAAAAAAGAATAATCAATTGATAAGTTTGCTAAAAAATTTACTCAGTTAAAAACTTAAAAAAGATATGCAATCTTTTACAGTGAAACAAGAAAATTGAGAAGAAAAAAGCTGATTACTAATTATTGAAACATCTGATACACAGATTCCGATTATCAATTTGGGTACCAATAATCACAGCCGATGTATGGAAATCGAAGAACCGGGACAGAAAACTGTGATGAGGGGACAATGAACAGAAACCGTAAGGCAATTTATTCCTTTTTACCATTCCACATTTTTTATCCTTATTTTTTATTTTGCTTGAAAAATTAGGTTTAAAATAATTAATTTTTTTTTTTTTTAAATTTTGTTACTTGTCATATTTATAAAACCATAATAATGGGTCAACTGTACGAGACGAGGAATAAGCAAAATGAAAAATGAACAATAGGAATGCGACAAAATGAGAAAAAGCTGAATACACATATTTTTGACATTTAATCGGTAAACAAAAATTAGTGTACTGAAAAACAAACCGAGAAAAATTTACAAAAAAAAAAAAAAAGTCCAACACTTTTTTTTTTTTTTTGCAGAAAAAATAGGTAAACACCAAAAAAATAAAAAAAAAAAAGAATTAATTACCGTTACAATAAATTAAAAAAAGTTTATTAACCTTGACAGCTGAGGCTTTCCCCCATGTTTTTCCTTTTCTTTATTACTTTTTGTTTTTTGTTTTTTCTTGTTCTGTTTACCGGGTCCACTGAATACCTGCAATTACAACAACAGCAGCAGCAGTAGCTGTTACTTGTAGCTGTAGTAGTAACAGTAATAGAACCAATAGTAGTAACAACAGCCTGATAGCAGTATCAAAAAAGAAAAAAATAATCTTTTTTTTTTATAGAATTTTTTAGCAAAAACCGTAAAATAAAAGTTGTATGAAAAAGAGAAATAAACAAAATGTTTTTTTTTCCTCCTCTTTGAAAAATAAGTCAATTGATGAAAAATATAGCGGAAAATAAAGATTTCACATGCAGCAGTCAACAATAAATAAAGCTGAAGTTTAGACTGCTTTTTATATTTACTTTTTTCTTTTCTTTCTTTAAGCAGTTTTTGCAAAATTTTAGATTGCATTAATAGATCAAAAAACGGCGGATTGAATGACCAGTGAAGCATTTAGCAACAATTTAATGACCAACTGCAAAAAGGGGTTTGTTGGTTATATAATACCGCTTTATATGGTGGTGGTAATGCTGATGGATATTTGACGTCGTCGTCGTTGTGTTTGTTGTTGTTGTTGTTGTCGACGTTTCCAGCTACCGCTGTTGCTGCTGCTACTGCTACTGCTACTGCTACTGCTGTTACTATTGCTAGTAATGTATATATGTTGACTTAATAAAAGCATCTTCTTGAAATATCAGATTACTTAATAATACTAGAAAAAAAAAGAAAAAAAAACAATTTTTTTTTGTTTTGAGGAGAATAACCGAAAACAAAAACCAAAAAAAAGTGTTCGTTTGATTAGGTTTTTTTTTGCTTTT